TTTTATATTTCTTTATCAAGAGCAGACTAAACATACAAGAAAATGATCCTTTTAAGAGAAAGAAAACAAAATTCTAAGCTTGTATGAGCTTACTATTGATATCAAAACACATTTCATTAAATTTATTCCACTCCTAGCCAACTTGACCATGCACAAAACTCTCTTCTCAGAGTTCCTCTTCCACAAGGCTCCTAAACTTTCTTTTATTTTACACTTAGAATATGTTCGAGGTCTTTCTTTTTAGCCTCTCCTTAGGACAAAAATATTATTATTATGTTTTTCCTAACCCATTTTACTTTAGGACAAATTCATTTTTCTTAACAAAACAAAAATATCCATTTCTTACCTTTCCTACTGGAAACGTACATCTTACTTTCTTTGTATATAGAGATGCTTTCCTTATTAACTTTTAGTAGCTTTAATCATATATATAGAGTGTTTAACACCTGGAAACCTTAATGTTTAGTGAAAAGAAAGAAGTAAGCAAGTATAAACTATTTTTTACATTAGCATTATGTGGCTTGGCAAATTTATAAATATTTTTCATAATTTCTATGAACATGTTACTTTACGGTACAATCTTTTAATAAAGCACAAGACATTTATTAATAGACCCAAACATTTTAAGTTTCTTTGCAAAAATAAGACAAAAGTGGGTAAATTTAGACTTGCTTAGCAATTAATGTTTCAGTGTTTTATTCTATTTGAAAATGATCTGGATATTTAATGAATTTTCCACCATTTAATTTAACCAGGCAAAACTTCAAAGTTTTGAGTGACGTCAGCATCATGGCGGAGTGAGCTGTCCCCTGAGATTCTCCTGTCTGATATACAAAAAAAAGGATATTTACATACCAACAGAGGACATTCCCACAACACAAAAGATGTCTCACAGACGAAAGCAGCCACATGTCTGAAGGTGGAGGTGCTGGATCCCTTGGAGGAAGGGGAAGGAGGTAAGGTGAATGTCCTCTCCCTCCAAAATGGTAGCAACCATGAGACTGCACATGGCTCTGAGAGGAGAGAGGGGAGGGGTGGCCCTCTGCGGGAACACCTTCACTCTCCAAGTTCCCTCACAGCCCATGGGAAAGCATCACACAGAGGTGATTAAGCCATTGTGAGAATGTCTTCATCAAGCTAGGACCCAAAGAGAGCAGATAGGAAGGGCAGAGAAAGAACACCCTCAGGATCACGCAGGTGAAAGAAAGCATTGCTCCCCGCTCCCAGAGCTCCAGCTCAACCAGTTGGCCAGAGGGCCACACAGACAGAAAAGCAGCCAGTGGCTGGAGCAAGCGAGCCACAGATCACAGTAGGTTCAGAATATAAAGCTCTTGACACCCATGCAGTGCTGGCAGGGGGAAGCTGAGACCAGATACTATCACTATGCAGAGGCACACATCCACACCATCAAGCAGTATGAAAAAATATATTAAATCTCCAGACCAGAAGGAAAATTACAAGTACCCAGTAACCAATCCTGAAGGCATAGATATTTATAATCTAAATGACAGAGAATTCAAAATTGCTATCATAAAAAACCTCAACGAGCTACAAGAAAATACAGACAGTTCAATGAAATCAGGAACTCCTTCAAAAAAAGGCATTGAAAATATAAAGAAACATCAGAAAGGTTGGAGATGAAAAACACAATGAGTGAGAGAAAGAAAAATCTGCACTCCCTAAACAATAGAGCTGATATTATGCACGAGCAAATCAGCAGTCTTGAGGACAGAAATATAGAAATGCTTCAAATGCAGGAGGCGAGAGAACTAAGATGAAAAAGAAATGAAGAAATTCTCCGAGAAATATCCGACTCAATTAGAAAATGCAAAATAGCGATTATAGATATTCAAGAGGGAGAAGCGAAGGAGAAATGGAGCAGAAACCTTGACCAAAGAAATAATAGCTGAGAACTTCGCAAACATGGGGAAGGAGCTAGAAATACAAGTGAAAGAAGCCAATAGATTTCCTAATGGTATCAAGGTAAAAAGAACTTCTCCAAGGCATATAGCAGTAAAGATGGCAACAGTAAATGACAAAGAAAAAATACGAAGGGCAGCAAGGCAGAAGAAAATAACTTACAAAGGAACCCTTGTCAGGCTTTTGACAGATTTCTCAGAAGAAACCTTACAGGCTAGGAGAAAGTGGAATGATATAGTCAAAAGTCTAACAGACAAAAACTTTCAGCCAAGAATACCCTATCCAGCAAAAATATCCTTCAGATATGATAGAGAAATAAAAACTTTCCAAGATAAACAAAAGCTAAGGGAGCTCATCACCCCAAGAACCCTCCTACAAGAAATGATCAAGATGGTCCTCATACCTAGAAAAAAATTAAGGGGGGTTACAAAACCTTGAGCAAGGAGAGACAAAATCAGAAAATTGCAGCTCTCTATCAGAGCAGGTTAACAAACAATTATAATATTAAAGATAAAGGGAAGGAAAACACCAAAAATAAATGTAATTTCCATTTTAACCACAAACTCAAAACACAAGATGGAACTAGATGTGACAATAATAACTTAGAAGAGGAAGAGGTAAGGAATGGAAATGGCTTCATCTAAGGAAATAAGAGGCTATCATTAAATGGACTATCTCATCTATGAGTTTTTTAATACAAATCTCATGGTTACTACCAAAGAAATAATTAGAACAGACACATAAATGATAAATAAGGAGAAAACTAAGAAAACCATCATAGAAATCTACCTAACTTAATTGATAGTCGAAAATACATGGCACAAGAAACAAAGGAAATGCAGAAGAATGGAAAAAACAAGTGATAAAATGGCAGCATTAAGCTCTCATATATCAATAATCACTCTAAATGTAAATGGATTGAATTCACCCGTCAAAAGCCACAGAGTGGTGGGATAGATTTAAAAACAACACCCAACAATATGCTGCCTCCAGGAAATCCATCTCAGCTCCAAAGACAAACACAGGCTCAGAGTGAAGGGATGGAAGATGATACTCCAAGATAATGGCAAAGAAAAGAAAGCAGGTGTTGCCATATTTATATCAGACAAAGTAGACTTCAAGATAAAACAGGTAAAGAGAGACAAAGAGGAGCAGTATATAATGATCAAAGGGACACTCCACCAAGGAGACATAGCACTTATAAATACATACGCACCCAACATAGGAGCACCAAATTACATAATGCAAGTATTAACAAGCCTAAAAGGAGATATTAATTACAATACAATAATAATAGGGGACCTCAACACCCCATTTACACCAATGGATAAATCATCCAGAGAGAAAATCAACAAGGAAACAGTAGATTTAAATGAAAAACTAGACCAGATGGATTTTATACACATATATAGAACACTTCATCCAAAAACAGCAGAATTCACATTCATCTCAAATGCATACGAAACATCCTCAAGAATAGAAGATATGTTGGGAAATAAGGACTGCCTCAATAAAGGAAATCATATCAAGCATCTTTTCTAACCATAATGCTATGAAACTAGAAATCAACTACAAGAAAAAAGCTGAGAAAGGGACAAATATGTGGAGGCTAAACTACACACTACTGAACAACCAATGCATCATTGGCGAAATTAAAAGAGAAATAAAAAATATCTCGAGACAAGTGAAAATGAAAATACACCATGCGAACTCATACAGGGTGCAGCAAAAGCGGTCCTAAGAGGGAAATTCAAAGCAATCCAAGCCCATCTTAACAAATTTGAATAATCTCAAATAAGTAATCTTAAACTACACCTAATAGAATTAGAAAAAGAACAAAGCCCAAAGTCAGCAGGAGGGAAATAATAAAAATAGAGCAGAAATAAATGAAATTGTGACCAAAAAAAAGACAGTAGAAAGGATCCACGAAAGGAAGAGCTGTTTCTTTGAAAACATAAACAAAATTGACAAACCCCTAGCCAGACTCACTAAGAAAAAAAGAGAGAAGGCTCGAATGAGTAAAATCAGAACTGAAAGAAGAGAAATCACAATAGATAACACAGAAATAAAAAGGATTTTCATAGATTATAAGAGAATAGTATGAAAAGCTATATGGCAACAAATTGGACAATCTAGAGGAAACACATACATTCTTAGATTCATACAACCTCTCGAAACTGAATAAAGAAGAAATAGAGAATCTAAATAGACCAAGCACAAGTAAAGAGGTTGAAACAGTAATCAAACACCTCCCCAAAAATAAAATCCAGGACCAGAGGGCTTCTTGGAGAATTCTACCAAACCTTCAAAGCAGATTTAATACCTATTCTTCTCCAACTACTCAAAAAAAATTGAGGAAGATGGAACACTTCCTAACACATTCTATGAAGCCAACATCACTCTGATCCCAAACCCACACAAGGACAACACAAAGAGGGAAAATTACAGGACAATACCACTGATGAACATAGACACAAAAGTCAATAACAAAATATCGGCAAACAGAAAACAGCAATACATTAAACAGATCATACACCATGATCAAGTGGGATTTATACCAGAGACACAGGGATGGGTCGACATTCGCAAATCATTCAGTGTGATACACCACATTAACAAAATGAGGCATAAAAACCACACGGAGCCCTCTTTAAGGATGGCGTTGGCTGAAGAGAGCTGCCTTGCTCAAGGTTACGCCACCTTTAACGGACAGCCTGCACTAATTACTGATTAGTGTGGGCATGTAAAGGGCAGGATCTCTTTATCTTGGAATAACTTTAAGGGGCTATCCAAAGTCCAGAGGTCACAGTGGGTTGGCTGAGGGCTTTTTGGGGAGTTCACGGCTGATAAATTTCTTCCTCTGCCCAATTCCACATCGTTCCCCTTCCTTCACAGGTGTTGATCCCCAAAGAACTCCTTAATAAACTTCTTATACAAGTAATCTCTGTCTCAGGGTGTGCTTCCTAGAAATCCCAACATACGAAAGCACTCCAAGCTGCTTCCTGCCTCAGAGCTTTGCACTATTAGTGCAGGAATAATCACCAATTCCCTTTGTCTATTGTTTTAATTTTCATTTTCCTGATCACTTGTGGGTTGAGTAACTTTTCAATTTGCCTTTCTTTTGGGGAAGCTGTTCTGCAACAGTTATGACTACTCACTTGATCATCTCCTTGAGGTTCCCCCACCCCTCTCTGGGGTTCTGAGACACAATTAGCTTGGAGAGAAAATTTTCACATTTAGATGCAACAGCATCTACTGCTGGGGCTAAAACTTCATTGGTAATAATGCACTTTGCTTTTGAAGATTGTAGTCTGTAGAGGATGTCTTTCCGGGTCAGCTGAGTGGTTCCTGGAATAAAACCGTCCCTAAAGGAGCAGAAAGGAAACAGTGTTTAGAAGGAAGGATTTCCTTCATCATGTTCGTTGGGATAGTGTAGATGGTTCATGTACATTCTGTAATCTCAGAATGAGTTAGTCAGAGTACCAGCAAGGGATCTATTTGTCTTCCTTTCACTATTTTGCCTTTCCTATGACCTCAAAGCTATGACCCTTCTGACCTAACATGAAAAGGTGTTAGAGCTGGATGATTATCTTCTGGCTGGAGATCATTCATAATGCTCAGCTTGAAGAGGGTTTTGATTGAAAAGCAATGTTACCAATGTTGATTGAGTACTTGAGTGCCAGGTGCTATTCTAAGTGTTCTGCATGTTTTAACTCATTTGATCCCCACCCAAAAACCCCAAACACAAAAGCTGTGAATAACTTGCCCAAGATCACCAGTGGCAGTGTAGGGAGTGAACCCTGCAACCTGACCCCAGAGCTGTACACTTAATCACTTCCATCCAGTGTCTCTTAAAACGGGCATGACTGTTTGACGGTTTTTTTCCAAAGGAAGAATTAAGGCATTCATCTTCTCTGTGCTGCTTCTCCGGCCTGCTGTGACTTCTACTGTGAGGTGTAGTGGAATGGTTCAGAGTGTGTCCTGGAGCCAGATACTCTAACAAGGTTGCCTTGGACAAGCCACTTCACTTCTGTGAGTCTCAGGTTTTGCCTGGTCATTCCTGGACTCTTGGCACTGACTCATCTTTATTTTGGAAAGGACAAGTCCCTTCAGTGGAATTCCTCAGAAAACAGACAACCAGGACTAAAATTCAAGTTTCCTCGGAATATCTTCCCTTTCTAAAAATGGCAGCATAACAACAGGTTTTTACTCCAAGCTTATTCCTTAAAGATGTGCCACCTAGGGATAGGTAGTTAGCCTCCCATGGCCTAACACTTTTCCATAATTTAAAGGCACTCTCTAGCAACAGGCCCACTGCCAGCAATTTATGCCCAGAAGCCGCACTTTATTTAAAGACATTACCCTTAGAAAATTAATTTCTGCCAACATATAATTCCTATCATATCTTTAAAAGAATCTGTTAACAGTGATCAATCTTACCTATTAAAACTATTTCCTGTCCAAATTAATCATTCTGGGAAACATTACATAGTTTCTTGCCAGGGAGCAAACTGTTATTTTAAATAAAAAATAACTTTCCAGTATTGCTCTGGAGTGTTGTCTTAGTTGATTATAAACACAATGGATTCATTTATTCACTGATTCATGAAAAAATATGTATTGAGAAGGCCAGCCCCGGTGGCCTAGTGGTTAAGGTCGGTGTGCTGCACTTCAGCAGCCTGGGTTTGGTTCCTGGGCATGGACATACACCACTTGTCAGTGGCCGTGCGGTGGCAGTGGCCCACATACAAAATACAGGAAGATTGGCAACAGATGTTAGATTGAGGGCGAATCTTCCTCATTTTGTGAATGGTGTAAAAGAATGGTCTATTTTCATTCTTTTACATGTGGCTGTGCAGGTTTCCCAACAATATTTGTTGAAGAGACTTTCCTTTCTCCATTGTATGTTCTCAGCTCCTTTGTTGAAGATTAGCTGTCCATAGATGTGTGGTTTTATTTCTGGGCTTTCAATTCTGTTCCAATGATCAGTGTGTCTGTTTTTGTACCAGTACCATGCTGTTTTGATTACTGTAGCTTTGTAATATGTTTTGAAGTCAGGGATTGTGATGCCTCCAGCTTTGTTCTTTTTTCTCAGGATTGCTTTAGCAATCTTTTAGTCTGTGGTTGCCCCATATGAATTTTAGGATTCTTTGTTCTATTTCCGTGAAGAATGTCATTGGGATTCTGATTGGGATTGCATTGAATCTCTGAATTGCTTTCAGTAGTATGGACATTTTAACTATGTTTATTCTTCCAATCCATGTGCATGATATCTTTTTCCATTTCTTTATGTCATCATCTATTTTTTTCAATAATGCCATATAGTTTTCGTTGTATCATTTCCTTGGTTAAATTTATTCCTAGATATTTTATTCTTTTTGTTGCGATTGTAAGTGGAATTGTATTCTTGATTTCTATTTCTGTAAGTTCATTATTACAGTATAGGGATGCAACTGACTTTTGTAAGTTGATTTTATACCCTGCAACTTTACTGTAGTTGTTGATTATTTCTAATAGTTTTCCAATGGATTCTTTAGGGTTTTCTATATATAAGATCATGTCGTCTGCAAACAGCAAGAGTTTCACTTCTTCATTTCCTGTTTGGATTCCTTTTATTCCTTCCTCTTGCCTAATTGCTCTGGCCCAAACCTCCAGTACTAGTTTGAATAAGAGCGGTGATGGTGGGCACCCTTGTTTTGTTCGTGTTCTCAGAGGGATGGCCTTCAGTTTTTTCCCCATTGAGTATGATGTTGGCTGTGGTGTTTATTGTGTTGAGGTAATTTCCTTCTATCCCCATTCTATTAAGCATTTTTATCATAAATGGCTGATGGATCTTGTCAAATGCTTTTTCTGCATCGATTGAGACAATTATGTGGTTTTTATTCCTCATTTTGTTAATGTGGTGTAACACATTGATTGATTTGTGGATGTTGAACCATCCCTGAGTCCCTGATATAAATCCCACTTGATCATGGCATGTGATCTTTTTAGTGTATTGCTGTATTCAGGTTGCCAATATTTTGTTGAGGATTTTTGCATATCCATTATATGAACGCCTCTGCTTAATTCTCTTTTCTTTCTATCTCAACCTCATGTTGCACAGGAATGGGACTTTTTGTTCCCTGCCCCTTACTCTCCCTCCAAATCTTTGCATGGTACCCTCTGGATTGAACATCAATTGAGTGGTTAACAAACTCTTCTACTTTCACATTTTCTACATCCTCTTCACTGAATGTTCTTTTCATTGTTTGCTTTATGAGATCTGGCTCTTCATGAGAATAGATTACTATTTCCCCCTTTTAAGTGGAGGCTGTTGATTCTTCCATGATCCTTGGGTTTGGCACCATTCGAGCTTCCAGTACGACCTCCTGACCATTACCCCTCTCACCCTATCTACAATCCCTCTCTCTCTTTGAGACTCACGCCATTTACCTTAACCACCCTCTGACACTCCTGGTTGTTGTAATTTGCCAACCTCCCAGTCATTCCTTGTCCATTAAAGCCTTTAGCATAAAGTTCATGATCTTTCCTTTGACTCCATGTCCCACCATTATCCTGAGTGACTCCTACATCTATATGGATGACTAATCCTACACTCTAGTCTCTTCCTTCTTTGACTTTTACCATCAGGGAGTTTCATGACACTTTAACCCCCTTGGCAATGCCTTTGACTTTGCCATCACCTGTAAATGTTTCACCTCTGAAATCTTAAGTCCATGCATCTCATGTTTTGATTACTACTGCTATGGACTTAATTGGTCTCCCTAAAACTTGTATATTGGAGCCCTAACCCCAAATATGGTGGTATTTGGAGGTGGAAACTTTTGGAGGTAATTAGGTTTAGATGAGGTCATTAGGGTGGGGCCCTCACAATGGTATTAGTATTGGTATAAGAGGAGACACTAGAGAACTTGGTCTCTCTTTCTCTCCTCCATGTGAGGGCACAGAAAGCAGATGTCTGCAAGCCAGGGAGAGAGCTCTCACCAGAACCCAACTATGCCGGCACCCTGATCTTAGACTTGCCTCCTCTAGAATTGCGAGAAATAAATATCACTTGTGTAAGCCATTCAATCTTTGGTACTGTTATGGCAGCCCAGGCAGATTACAACAATTACCTTCAGTCCCACCAGCTCTACTAACGCTTTCAGTACCTTGTCTTCTCACCATTGATCTGCCTTTTTCTTAAATTCTCTTCCTTGCCTAATCAGCTTGCATTCTTAGTCCTTCACTTTAACCATTTTCTTGCCAACTTCCCAAGATCCCTTGCCCACTGCCCTTTTATTGTGCCTTCTTGGAAAACCCTTAATCCTGGGTCATTCCTACTCTCCCCTTGTACTTGTGATTTTCTGCAATATTTAAGGGTGATTTTCTCAAATATTAGAGAATATTTCTCCAACATTTTAGAGTGAGTTGGCGGAAATCACACAATCACATAGAGAGTGACTTTGAAGATGGATGATCACCAACCTCAAATGTGTCCTTATCACCCATTTCTGCTGCATTTCTGGCATCTGCTCTCTCTTCCATTTGCAGCAATGATAATTTTAAACATTGTCCACTCAGACTTCTACAGCACATTTTTTCCCTATCTCATTGGGGGATACTGAGTCCTATTTCACAGAGAAAATAGGATTCATCAGGTGGAAACTACCTGAACTTCCTACTATGGAATCTACAAGCTTACATTTGTCTGTACCCCAGAATCCTTTGTCTTATGATGGAAGAGGGATCCCTTTAGTTTAAGTCAGTTTCTCTTCCCATGTTTAAGATCCAGCTAGTTGCATGTCTAGTGTGTGCCTTGTGCTTTGATGGTGCGTTTATGTAGTGGATGGACAAGTTTGGCCATCTGGCTGAATGGCAAATCAGCATCACCCTACAGTTTTGGCCTGCCAGTAGCCTTCAGAGATGTCCTACTTAGTGATGTTTCCAGTCCTCCATCTTCTCAGGGCTGATGAATCTTTCTGCAGCCACACAATGCTTCAGACTCTTGAATCCATAGCAAAAGCGATCAAAAGTTGTTCTTGCACTTCGTGAATATTTCTACCAGTAGTAGGTCTGTTGTAAGGAAGAATCTTGGGGAAATGATGCAGATATTGTCAAATATACAAGGCACTCATTAAGTAGTAGTTGATGTTCTTATTAACATTCTAATAGATAATCTATTCAGACATCCCGTTTGGATAGACTTCCCAGAAGACACTTACTCTTCTCGAGAAGAGGAATTAGTGTTAAACGTGAGTCAATCAAATGATAGTCCTAACTGATGGAAGGAAGCCAGCCTTCTGAAGAAACCCTTCTGAGTTTCCTTTTACTTCTCCAAAGCCTGAGCTGTGTGAAGGATGTGTCAGAAATGGTAATATAAAGCAGAATGTACTTTTCTGAACTCTGAGGATAAAAGAAAGCTGCTTATTTTACAAACTGGATTCAAAATCTCTGGATATTATGAGAAGTTTCCACAGGGCCCAGGCATAGATAGGATAGTAGTGAACCACCTTTTATAAACCCATAATTCATTTTATGAGTATTTGATTTTGGTGACGGTGGAAGAATCAAATGTGGGAAGAAGACTGGAACAAAACTCTTTGTGGTCTCAGATAGAGGCAGAGTGACCCTGTGTATTTTGAACATAAGAGTGTCAATTAGTGGTTACCTGGTAGCTCATCTGTGTTAGATAATATCTGACTACCCATTCAGTTCCTGAGAGTAAGAAAGATCAAAGTTGGAGAACTGTTTCTAAATTAATTCCAAAATCATCATTATGTCTTTGCCTTTGTATTACCATTAATTTCAGGGCACAAGTGAGAGTTGACTATTTTGAAATTTTTAAATGCTTCTCTTTTAAGAGTGTAAGAAATAATCCAGACATTTCATGAGATGATAGCATGTTGGTGAATGAAGATATGCCATATTTAACATAACACATTTTTTGCTGCTCCATAAAATGCCAATGAATTAGGTCATGTGCTTTCTTCACGTAATTATAATGTAATATGCTAATATCATTTCCTACCACGAACGCTTCCTTCTGTAGAATATGTGTCCTTGTCCACATAGCTACAGTGAAATTTAGAGTGAAGTGATTATTTAGCAAACTCTGAGGCCTGATACAATGCTTTGGGCCTGTGATTTCTCACTAATCTTCATTGATGATGATAAACAATTCCACTTTGCAGGTATCCTAAAGAATTCCAGGGTATATGCAAAGATGCTCTTTTTAGCAGCTTGGAAAAAATCCAAGTATCTTTTGATAGGCACTTTGATAGTTCCATACTAAGGGACATTATGCAATAATTTAAAAGAATAAGATGTACAATCACATACTGTCATGAATAAAGCTCTAAGGTACAGTGTGGAGTGGAAAATGCAAGCTTCACCATGACATACAGAATGATACCTTCTACGTAATCCACCCCCCAATATTAGAATGTATTTCTACGGGGATAGATAGATATAGGTTTAGATATACATTTATTTTTAAAAGGTCTAGAAGGATCTATATCCAGTAGGGGAGGTGGTCTTTTTCTTTAATGTTCACCTTTTTTTACATGTAATATATTTTTCTTTAATGTTTATATTTTTAAAGGGAGTTATGATTACAAATTAATTAAACACATCCAACCTTTTGACTACAATTAGGTTTTATATTCCTAACTCCTTTGGAGCCAGAAGATATGGATTCAGAAGTGTCACGGGCAAAAAAAAAATCCCACAACCTAGTAGAGTTATTGTCATAAATTGCAAGAAGACAGATGCTTTAATGAAGGGTAGAATTGGATTATTTCAATAAATCGAGCGTTCCTAGTCTCATTTGTGGCCCCATGAGTGGAAGTGGACTCTCTGAGAAGATCCTCTCTTACCTGGCAAAACACTTGTGTGGAAGCAGTTCCTGGTATGTCCCTGGGTTTCTCGGTAGGGCAATGATGGTGAGAAACCCGGACAGGGCCTGCGCCACCAAGAAAGGAAAAACAAAATCTGTGTTTGAAAATGAGAAAGACATTGAGACAGTTGGGGAATGTCCAGGGGAGAGGATCACTAGCTTCAAGACTCAGCGGGAGCAAGTCCTTTATCTTAATGAGCCTTGGAAGAGGATTTAGCTGTTCCTATCTGAATCTAGGAGCTACCATGTTAATCACCCAGTAACTGAATGGATACATAGCTTGACCTTTACTTCTGGATCCCTGAAGCCCTTTGCTTAGATTTATTGTTTTGAAGAATAATCCTGGATGTTGTCAGGAAAATTTTGATTTGTGAAGGTAGTTTAGAGATTAACACAGCAGTTTAGAGATTGTGTGATGGAATCCAATAGGCCCAGTTTTATTTCTGGTTCCAGCTCTGATTCCTTAGGCTAGCTGGTTAACCTCTCTGAGCCTCAGTTTCCCCAGTTTCTACCTCACAGTGCTGTTGGGAAGATGAATGAAATAACGCATGTTAGGAGCCAGTACCTGGTGAATAGAAGATAGTGGATATTAATATTATCATCTTCATTATCATTATTGTCTGTTAAAAGTTTCATTTTCAGCGATTCAGCTGAAGCAGCCAGCTCCTCCTGATTCCAAAGAGCCTAGAGAAGTGAGAGGACATTGTTCTCAGAAGGAGGGAGAACATTTTCGGGTCAGGATCACATTTCAAATTTAATTCTTGATTCACCTCATGTTGGGCATGAGTCGCTGGGCCATTGCTAATGTTTCCTTTCTGGCCTTTGCCCCGGCCCTCACAGGGAACTGGTCTAATGTTTAGAAGAGACTCAGGGCAGAAGGTTTGGTTGTGATCCAGAAACACACAGCTCCTTAAAGCCAAGTTCCCCAGACATTGCTCAAAGACAAATTTTCACCAAGAGTATCACCCAAACACCACAAGACATCTGCTGGCTGAAAGTCCATCCACTGTCTAAAGAGAAACAGGAAAAACATCTGAATTCTCTTGCATTGGTACTAGCAACAACAAGAAGAGTCGCTAGTTATTAAGCACTAACCTGTGGAAATAAAGACGATTCAAATGAGAACAAGCAAAGGCTATTTTCTCAGAGTTTGCTATAGCAAGGGAGTCGGCCCCCATCATTTGCAGTTTGGCAGAGATCCAGGCAGGCAGAGGACTGTAAAGCTTTATAGTGGAGAGAAGGGAAGGGTCTAGATGCCCCCTGAGTGGAGGCTGTTGGCACGGGGAAGCTGTAGGTGGGCTAACTAGAGGTGGACGTCCTATGTGATTGGTTAGGGGTGCACATTTGGCTGTCACTGGCTGGTCCTATGTTAGAAGCGGGACAAAAATTAGGGAAGCTGTCAGTTATTAATTAATCCCTGGCCATTTGGGTCTGATTGCTGCAGGGGTTATTGTTTGGCTTCCTGGGCTGGTTGCTGGAGATAGTGGTCTGACTCCCTTCAAGTCTGATTTGGAGATAGCAGGCTGGCTTCCTGGGCTAGTCTGTAGATAATGAGTTGGTTTCCTGGGCTGGTTGCTACAGACTGTGGGTCAGAGTTCTGTTTTAATATGTGATCTGGCCATTGTCCATTTGTATATTCAGGCTCTTACGCTGTATATGTGGTACTGTGTTCACTGCTTTACACACGTCAACTTATTGAATACTTCCTTCTATACAAATAGCACACTCTCCACAATGTTCTGCACTGCTTGTTCTCCTGCACAGTGCATGCTGAAGATCTTTCCATATCAAACATATAGAAGTGCTATATTTTTAAAATAGTGGCATAATATTTCATTGGATAGATGTACCATTATTTGTTTAACCACCCCCCAAACCCAACCTTTTTGCTGTTACAAATTAGGGTGCAACACCTATCCTTGTGGTGATGACAGCTTGCATCTATGGCAATGGATCTGTGGGATACATTCGTGGAAATGGACTGCTGGGTAAAAGGGAAGGTGCATTTGTAATCTTGAGAGATGTTGCTAAATTTTACCCCAAATGATATCTAATTTAATTCTTACAGAAAGCCTATAGGATTGGCGTTTTGATAGACGAGGGAACTGTCTCATAGACATGAAACAGCTGGTCCAAGGCGATGAGTGCAGCCTTGGAATTGGAACCTCGATCTAGCCAGTGGGCTCTGAAGCACTGTGTCCTACTGCCTCCTCCTCGTGTTAGGGTGGCTGCTGTTATTAACCTCCAGCCTCAGGCCAGGCACTGAGCTAAGCACGCTCTGTACAATAGCTCCTTTAAATCTCACAACCCGGAGGCCGGCACGGTGGCCTGGGGGTTAAGTTCACGCGCTCTGCTTTGCTGGCCCAAGGTTTTGCCAGTTCGCATCCTGGGCGCAGACATGGCACCACTCATTAGGCCACGCTGAGGCAGCATCCCACATGCCACAACTAGAAGGACCCACAACTAAAATATACAACTATGTACTGGGAGGATTTGGGGAGAAAAAGCAGAAAAATAAATAAATAAAGATTGCCAGCTGAGCTAATATCTGTTGCCAATTTTTAAGTCTCGCAACCTTCGAAGGTAGATGTTACTGTATTTATTAAATCTAAGATGCCATCAATGAGAAGTTCCACCATTATTATTCTGTGACTCATCAAGAAAATGCAAAACAGTGCTACTTAAACTTGAGCATGCTTTGTTTGTAAGGCACTTCCTGATGTTAAAATGAAATGTAAAAAACTGTTCATCTTGGAGTCACAAAATACAGCATTATCCCATTTCACAAATGAGGACACTGAAGTATCATGAGGTGAAATGACTTGCCTAAGGTCACACTAGGCACTGGCAGAATTGAGGTTTGAACGGTTATATCCGTTTAATGCCAGAGCCACCTCAGTACTCAACCCTTTCCTTGCTCTTGTGCTGGGGGCAAATAATTCTTTGGAGTCAGAGCTCCAAGTAAAGTAGTGGTACCAGGGAATTCTCCAGGTTTAGATGGCAGAGCAGGAGGGCTTGGAAATGTGCAGGGCTGTTACCCCGGCTGATATGAGCTAAACCGCCACAGCCCCTGCCTCCTGGTTTAATCATCTCGTGTTCTAGAACTCAGTTCCGATGATCACATTTTCCTGCTTAAAAACAACCCTCCAACGGCTCCCCAGTGCTGTCATGATAAGGTAAGGGTTATACTCTTTTCTTATAATCCAGTCCATGTGACTTCACCCTCACCTCTTATTTCTTTTCTTTCCACACCTTACACTTCAGCCAAACTGGCCCTGTGCTCTATACATCCTCTTGCTTTTTCTCTTCCAGCCTTTGGGTTGCTCTACGCTGTTTCCTTTGCTCTGAGTGCTCTTTCCATGCTCACCTCCACATAATCAAATCCCACATACAGAGTTCACCTCCAATGCTTTATATGCCGGTCTCTTTTGGAAATTATTGCTCTGTCCTCTGAGTCTCCTAATGCTTTCTCCTAAAGAACGGCGAACTTTCTGCCATGAATTACTTATTCATATGCTTGTCATGGCTCTCTGACTAGCCTGTGGACTTCTTGAGGGTAAAGTTCACACCTGACTCATCTTTGAACCCTTCCTTTCTCCTGACCTAGTGACTAACACAGAGTAGAGATCAGATATCACCCTTACTGTATGGAGACGTTCAATGAACACAGAATTGGAAATGACATTAGATAGAGACCTTCAAACCTGCTCTCAATTTCTGCACTCTTTGACTGACGTCTTTAAGGCAAGTTGATTCTGCAGGGTCCTAAATCTGTGTTTGGATCTCCTTGATTGCTTATATCTTCTGATATTTGCATTAGAACACAAGATCTGTTAAACACCTGCCTGTAGGCCTCTGACCCAATTTCAGCCCTCCAGGTGCCTCAGGTCCCGTCTTAGCTCAGTTTCCCCATCATAATGATGTGGGTGGATCTGGCATTGTGTTGTGAGGGAGGTGAAATTGGAGACCAGGGACTTGGCACAGATTGTAATATTAGATTTTATAAACTCACTGTGAAAGCTCCTTTCTTTGCAGATCTGGGTGACTTGGGGACATTTCCTGGCTCTCAAGGTATGACCATGAGGCCAATAGAATCTCCTTAAATTCTGTCAGCATCTGTCTTAATTGGCATTATGTTGCCTTCTAGGTACCAGGGCTTTAGGAAGTCTTGGATGTTATCCAGCAGGCACTTTTATGAATTCATGTATTGAATAAATGAATAATTTCAGTTTCTCCAACTCTAATTCTCTGCCTGATATCCACAGTTTGTTAATAGCTCATAAAGAGACAAAGACTTTGTTGTGAGTTTGAGCAACACACATACATGTACCTATTTCCCCTAAGGGATTCTTGGTTAAGTTTCTTAAGAGAAGTTTTTTCTTTTTCTTTTTCTTGAAGATTGGCACTTGAGCTAACAACTGTAGCCAATCTTCTTTTTTTTTTTTCTTTTCTTCTTCTTCTTCCCGAAGCCCCCCAGTACATAGTTGTATATTGTAGTTGTAGCTCCCCCTTGTTGTGCCATGTGGGACATCGCCTCAGCATGGCCTGATGAGTGGTGCCATGTCCATGCCCAGGGTCCAAACTGGTGAAACCCTGGGCCACCAAAGTGGAGCATGCAAACTTAACCACTCAGCCATGAGGCTGGCCTCTCTTAAGAGAACTTGAGCACAGAGTCACAATTCACAAGCATTTACCTCAGGAAGAATTGACTGTAAGGTTGGGAAACCAGAACAAACGCAAGGCAATTACTTCCATGGGTGTTCAACCAAAAAGACTGAAATCATTTTCAATGCTGGAGGAAAGATGGACTAGATTAGATTTTCCAAGAGATAGTATAGTATCCAGGAGCTATTATAGGATTATTTTTTAAATGAGTAGTATGATGACATGGGATTTTCATCTCAGGTGCCGAGTTTAGACCCAAACCCCTTATAAGTTGTGACTCTGCCTTTGTGTTTATCACTACGAATAGTGGTCAACACACTTGTTCACCATGGTTCTGTTAGCAGAGAAGAATAGGAAACATACAACAGTGTGTCTTTTGGGTAATTGCCCTGGATCCCTCCCCAGCTACATGGACCCACTGCTCTTCCTCTCTCCCCAAGACTCTTAGATTTCTGGCTCCTCAGTAACTTGTTTTTGATCCTTTCGTGTACACCTTCCCACTTTGCTTGCAGTCCCATTTCTCCCCTCAATGTTGACATTTTCTGCAGTCTTTGGTTAGAAACTCCTTTCTTAGCTTTGTTCCCATGAAACTCTCCCTTTTCTCCCCAAGAGAAGAGCTTTCAGACCAATAAAGGACTCCTTTAAGAGCACAGCAGAGTGCCTGAGAGATCCATATGTCTGCACATCTGAAGGCTGGTGGACTAGGCTTCTGGGAGGCAGTGGAACTAGGAGAGGAGCTCCCTCCCCCTTTCCTGGCAGTGTCAATCCAAAACAACGATACCACTGGTAGGGGCAGTGGTTGTCTGACCTGAGGTTTCTAAAAGTGCACTAGTACCGGGGACCAGAAGGCTACAGGAACAGTAATTGTTGTCATGGTTCAGCCCCACCTCTCTCCTAACAGTCTCATGTGACTCCTGTGACTTGAGGCTTCAGGAGCCACAGCAGCACCCATGACACTGACCCTACTTGCAGTGGGGGCTGCATATAAGACCCTAGGCCCCTGCCAGCAGCAGTGACAC